AGTGCCAAAACACAGTCCAAAACCGAATATCATCCAGAAAAGCTAATGATATCTGTTTGGTGGTCCAGCGCTGGTATTATCCACTACAGCTTCATGAAACCTGGTCAGTCAATTACAACAGATGTCTACTGCAACCAATTGGACAAAATGATGAGGATGCTTGCAATTAACCAGCCGAGATTAGTCAATAGAGATAGGTTAATCCTCTTACAAAACAATGTTCATGTACATGTTGCACAAACAATGCTGCTCATACTACAGCAGCTGGACTTGGAAACTCTCTGTCTCCCACCATATTCACCAGACCTTGCACCAACAGACTACCACTTCTTCCAGGCCTTTGGACCACTTCTTGCAAGGAAAAATATTCAATTCTCAACAAGCTGTGAAAAATGCATTTCTTGATTTCATTACCACTTGCTCTCCAGGTTTCTTCATTACTGGCATAAACAAGCTACCATTAAGATGGCAAAACCATATCAATAGTTTAGGCACATGCTTTGATTAATTGTACTGCTTCTTATTTGAGATATAATAAACTATACTTCTGATTTGAAATCAGACATTTCACATTTAATGACCTAATACAATAATGATGAATACATCATTCTTCTTAAGAAACTTGGTGTTTTGTAGGGGAGGTATGATATAAATACACTAACAACTGTATAATGAGGCTGACTACTCTCATGAGAAAGATCCCAAGTACAGAAACATCACATCAGATATTGGGGGTTACCTGTAGCTTAGTGTTCTCTTGTTGCTTTTTCAGTTGCCTAGTACAGGCTTTATACTTGGCTAACAATTCTTTTTTTTTTTTTTTGAGACAAGGTCTCGCTCTGTTGCCCACGTTGGAGTGCAGTGGTGCAATCATAGCTCTCTGCAACCTTGAATTCTTGGCCTCAAGCAATCCTCCTGCCTCCACCTCTCAAGTCACTAGGAGTATAGGCACATGTCACCATGCCTAGCTAATTTTTCTTTCTTTCTTTTTTTTTTTGTAGAGATGGGGTCTTGCTATGTTGCATGGGCTGGTCTCGAACTTCTGGCCTCAAGCAGTCCTCCCGCCTCAGCCTCCTAAAGTGCTGGGATTACAGGCATGAGCCACTGTGCTCAGCAACAGTTCTTTATGTTAAGTTCTTTCTGTTCCCATGACTAGTATTTCTTCTATCTCCTGATTACACGCTGACTGATACCAGGAGGAGAGAATAGTATTTCAGTTTGACTTGGAAGAAAGGTGGAATTTTAAGAGATGAAAATCAGGAAATTTCAAATAGAATGAATGTCAGCATGAGTAAAGGTAGTGAAGATGAGAAAGTATGGTGTATATTTGGGAACATTTTATGTAGAGGTTGGGGTAGGCACTAATTTGGAGGACCATGAACTCTAGGCTAAAAAAATTGGACTTAATTTGTAACAAATGATTTTTTTTTTTTTTAAGGAAAATAATGACCTGATTAGATAGAATTCTCATCTAGAAATGTTTGGATAATAAATTTGTGACAGATTATTAAGAAAAGTCAGGATTGTACATTACTATTTTCCCATGCTTCATTCATTCATAAAATACTGAGGGCCTGTGTCTTAAGAATACCACAATGAATAAAACCATCCTCATATAGCCATCTAATCTTTGACAAAGCAGACAAAAACATACGCTGGGGAAAAGAATCCCTTTTCAATAAATGGTGCTCGGGAAACTGATACGCCACTTGCAGAAGGCTAAAGCAGACCCACACCTTTCACCTCTCACAAAAATCAACTTCACCTGGATAACAGCACTTAAACCTAACGGTAGAAACATATAGAATTCTAGAGGAAATGTTGAAACACTCCTCCTAGACCTTGGCCCTAGCGAAGAGTTTACGAAGAAGCTCCCAAAGGCAATCACAGCAGCAACAAAAATAAATGGACACTGATCAAACTACCCAGCTTCTCACCAGCAAAAAAACAGTCATCGAAAGTAAACAGACCAACCCTACTAGCACCAGTGGAGAAAATTGCATCCCTCATGCAAGTCTGATAGGCCGATAACTAGACAGTATACTTAGCAACTCACGAAATCGAAGAAAATCAAAATACCCTACTAAGTCGCAAGAGACTTGAACAAAACTTTCTACAAGAAGACAGAACAATGGCCAACAAAACTCATGAAAAATGCTCAACATCATCTATCATCCGGGAACCATAGCAAATCCAACCAACCACAAGAGCCATATCACGTCTAACTCCAGAGAATGGCTGTTTATCAAAAAGTCCTCAAATTAACTTAAATTTGCTGGCGTGTTCGGAGAGAGAGGAACACTCCCTACACTGCTGTGGGGCACTCGCAAACCTAGTTCTAACCTCGTGGGAAGCAACTGTAGATGATACCTTTAAAGCGATACAAGTGCTACCTACCATTTGATCCAGTTAAATCCCATTACTGTAGTATCTACCCAAAAGAATCCAATGAACACTTACTCGAAAAAAGACACCTGCCACTCCGAATCGCTTAAGCAGGCACAAATCATAATTGCAAGGCTGTGAAACCAGCCCAATGCCCACAATGCCAAGAAGGATAAGGTCAAAATGAGTGTATACTGTCTACCCATGAGTACTATTCAGCTCTAAAAACAACGTGATGGATAGAACATCTTATATTCCTGTTATTTAGAGCTGGACCATACCTAGCCCAAGTGACAGTATCCCAAGAAGGAAAAACAACACCCACACTATACACACCAGCAACTGATTTACTGAGCAAACTCGTACCTATCCATGACACATAGGTACCACAGCTCAATAGGGTATCGTGGCAGGTGGAGGGTCGATGTGGGCGCGGTATAACAGTAATTAATGAGGCTGGAGATGCACCATCTCGGGATGTCATCTGGAAACTCAGACTGTGGGGGGATATGTCGAAACGGCGCGATTTAATGAAACCTAAACATCCTGCACCCCCATAATGATCCGAAATAAACAAAAAAAAAGAATACCACCATGAATACCAAAAAACAATCGTATTCCAAGTCGTGGAAAAACATAATAAAGTTCACATAAAAAATTGAAGCGCAAAAATAAATCAATTATTGTTGGAAGCATAGAAATACTGCGCAGATTATACACAAAAACCCGCCGCTGATCGCGCGGGCTACCGCCTTAAGGCCTACGCTTCTCCTGGGAAAGGGCCGAGCACGGACCTTGACTCAGCGATTCAAACCAACCTGAAGCATAGCGAGACCGGTCGTCCCTACATAATTGAAATATTAACGCCCAACTAATACATACTATGAAAAAATCAGCCGGGCAATAGGTGGCCCCATCCTGTATTCCAGCTACTTGGAGCTTACAGATTAGCTTGACCCGAGTCTGAGTTTCTCGTGACCAAGCATACTGCGCGTGCACTCACTCCTAGCCTGGCACCAAATGAGACCCTGTCTCAGAAAAAAAAAAAAAAGAACACAAAACCGGCAAAGTCAAGAAAGACTAACTGATGCCTCTTCACCACCGGGTAACCAGAATATATCTATGCCATCAAAGAGGCGTATGCCAGATTAAAGAACAGCTGCCTGAGAAAACGGCCAGAGAGGGAGAAACATTGTTCGGCAATCTATCAGGCAAATTATAAAACCTTTTCAAGAAACAGTTTCCATTTCGCCTTGCAATTCTGCTAACATAAATTAAATGCGAAGAGTCTTAGATTGTAATGTTCATAGTTCGGCCATATTCATTCAAAATCCTGTGTCTTATAAAGATATATCAGAATGAATGATTTGACTATACATTTTCACGTGCTTATATGGGAAGGGTATGATAGATTCATGGTTAATGTGTGTATTATCGGAAGATGATAACCCACGAGAAAGAGAAAATGCAGTATATAGGGGGGCAATTAATGAATCCGAAATATCAAGCATGTCAGTACATACTATCCCACACCGCCATTAAAGGTACGTCACTAGAGAGACTATAACAGCATAAAAATTCTCAGATGAAAACTGTTTAATCAAAAGGTTAATAATCAGCGCAGGCGCGTGGCTCCGGCTGTAATCCTAGCTCTCTGGGAGCGGAGGTCGCGATGCTCGAGGTCAGAGTTCTAACCCCCCAGCAAGGCAAGGCCGAACCGACCATCGCTAATATACCAATAGAAAAATAATGGCCACCAAAATATCTAACACTAACAAATTAGCCCGGCATGGTGGCGAAGCCTGAGTCCGCAGCTACTTGGGAGGCTGAGGCAGGAGGATTGCTTGAGCCAGGAGTTTGAGGTTGCTGTGAGCTAGACTGACGCCATGGCACTCACTCTAGCCTGGGCAATAAAGTGAGACTCTGTCTCAAAAAAAAAAATGTTATATCAAAATGTTTATATCAAAAGGCAAAGCCCCTTTTCACATGTTTCTTAATGGTTTGGATTTTCTCTTGTGAAGAGAAATGATCTCTTGGGTTGTTTATCAATTTCTAGGATATATTTGTATTTTGGGGAAGTTCATCTTCTGTTTTTCATATATGATGCAGTATTTTCTTACTTGCCTCTTATCTTTGGCATAGTGTATAGTTGTTTGTTTGTTTGTTTGTTTTTGCCATACGGAAGTTTGTATGTGGTAAAGTTTGTATGTGGTTTGTTTTTGCCATACAGAAGTTTGTAATTTGAGGGGACAGAAGAATCAAGTGAAATGAAAAGAGAGGAAAGGAGCCAAAGAGAGAATATTCTGAATTTTCTATCAACCTTTTCAGTTGAACCAAAAGATCATAAACTATGTGACATAAAAGAGAACCATCTATAGAGAACCAAGTTTGCGAAACTCCTTAGACCTGTGCCGTTGACAGAAAAGCAATCTGTAATTATGTTTTGTGGAGTTCATGTTATCCAGATACATGAGAATTACATAGTAGTTGGAAAATATCCAAGTTTGATAATGACTAAGTCTGTAATTGGCTAATCAAAGTGTAAGTTTAACCAAAGTGTATATATTGTGGATTTAAAGAAAATTATTGTTTGTCTTTATGTTTTTGGTGTTTAGGCTAGACAGCAACAAGCAGAATTGGCCCAACAGGAATGGCTTCAAATGCAGCAAGCTGCCCAACAAGCCCAGATTGCTGCTGCCTCAGCCAGTGCATCCAATCAGGCAGGATCTTCTCAGGATGAAGAAGATGATGATGATATCTGAAATTCACCAGCTGAGTTTCCTCTATAAATGTTTTTCCCTGCACAAAAAAACAGTGAAAGAAATGCTTATCTGTAATTTTGTGTGCATCTTGGTGGACTTGCCATTGGTATTCTAGGGATGTCTGCTGTTAAGTTTCATCTATTGTGTGCTATACATGTAAAACCTGTCTCTTTGAACTATTGAAAATTTAAGGTTCAGTATAATATCAATTTTGAATTTTTAATGGTGTTTATGAAATTTTAGATAGCAGTGAGTCCTTTATTTGATCAATAAACAGTGTTACAGAAAACTTCAAGTTTATAAAAATATAGTGAAATTTATATGGAAGCTCTAAATCTGCATTTGCATTTCCTCTGTCCTTTTAACTAAACTAAAAATTGGGAATTTTAAATTATTGAGGGGGGTACTAGGAGAATCAGTAGACATTGGATCAGGTTGGTAAAGAGAGTTCAGTTCTGGAGTGTCTGAACTTCATCTTTTAAAATGAGTGTGTGTGTGTGTGTGTGTATATATATGCAATAAATATATATGCTCAGATAAATATACTTGTTTAGAAAACCTCAAAACAAGACATTCAAAACTAGGAAGGAATATGTTCAATAGTAGTTATATAAATTTGGTGGGTTATGTTTATTGTTTTGGTTTTGTGTAGAGGTAAAAACTAAAGTTTTATCATGGCATAATTCATCTTGAGCTACACTATGACATTTCAAATACTGCCCATTTTTGAGGACTGTCATGATTCTTACTGTTTCACTCCAATTCAATAATTGTTAATAGTATTACTGGCTTAGTCCATCCATGCTTCTATTATTCAGATATATAGGTGGGACTTGTGAAACAATTGCTTGGGTTCCGTTGGTTTAACTGAGGTTTGTGAATATTCAAACCTTTGCTGAGGGAAAGAAATGAAAGTTAATGAGCATGCTTGCTATGAGAGGGATTTTTTTTAATTTAACTTGTAGTTATGCTTATTGTTTGTCTTTAGCATTACTTTTACATTTTCTTGACTAGATAGCCTAGAGTCCAGCGCTACCTTTTGAAATTGCATCATTGTCTCCTTCATCTTAATTGAGTGATAGCTTTAAAAAAAGATTGGTTTTGTTTAAGAAAGTGTGTCATAACTGATCAGCCCTATATGAAACATAAATAGTTTCAACCTGCTTGTTAAAAGAGAGAAGCTTTAATTTGGTTCCAGTAAATAAAGTATAGTAGTGATTATAGGAATCCAGTGTGTTGAAGAAATGGCATAGTATTTATATTTTGGAAACAAAGGAAAAGTCACTGAAGATAATATGAAGTAATTAAATTCCTATGTCAATTGCCAAATAATTTAAATTTCTATATTTACCAAGCCCCAAAATAGATTGTGGCTGCCAGGATTCCAATTTTACTTGGAGAGCTAAATAAGTAAACTTTTATAAGTATTAGATTTCTTAATGATCATATTTTGCAGTTTTAGAAAAAGGGAAATACTATATGTTTATTAAATATACTTCTACCCATGTAATGAAAAGGTTAATTTTGCTGAATGTTTTAAGTTGAAGTTACTTCATGGATGTCATATCCGTGAAGTGTATTTAGATGAGATAGAAGGAATTGTTTTTTTAAGAAGTTTAAGTACCAAAGGTAGTCTAGTCTAGAAAAATAATAAGTTCATAAGTGTTGGCTTTTCTAATTTGTACTGTAACATCCTGATACTTTCTATTTTAAGTATATCTTGTTTCTTAAGTAAACAACTTAGATATTTTCCCACACCTTTTTTTTCTGATGCAGAGTTCAGGTTAATTAATATTTTACTGCATCTGATAATGTATTATATGTTTGAAGCCTAGTGACTTTTTATTTTGACATTCTTGTGATTTCATATGCTGTATTCTTCAAGCAATAAAATTCTGATGTGTTTTATAAATTGTTATTATATTTAATGATCTACAGAGAAATTTCTATTATTATCATTTTTAGTAGTTTAAAGAATGTTAGACTCAGGTGGCTCCGTGGCACAATGGATAGCACATTGGACTTCTGAAGAATGTTAGACTCAAAAGACATTTTGGTCATTTGGCATATAGTACCTGCCTTTCTCCTTTGCTTAATGTTATGTCAGAAAATGTGGCTTTACTTGTGTTTTTGTAATTCATGGTCCTAGAATTGAAGCATAACAAAACTATTTAAGCAGTATTTTACTTTTAGCTTATTTTTTAGCATTTATAAGTCAGTATTTTTCTAGTTGTTAAGTATTTTTTAGTCTTTTGCAGAGAGAAACAAAATCTTTAGTGTTCTTGTGAAATAAAGTTATTGTTTAGTATTTTTCCATCCCCTTGAATGTATGTCTGTCTTTTTCAGCAGATTATCAGATTGATAAGTGTTGAAAAGACACCAATTTTTTTTTGTTGTTTCACAGGATACAAAATCAATATACAAAATCAGCAGCATTTCTTTACACCAACAATGAAATATCTGAAAAGGAAATCAAGAAACAATCCCATTTACAATAGCATCGGAAAAAAAAGTACTTAGGAATAAATTTAACCAAGGAAGTGAACCAATCTGTACGCTGAAAATAGCCCTTATCACCTAAGATTAGGCCCTTTGTTTGTTGCTGACCTGACCCTCCACTAGGAAGAGTCTTAGGGCACAGGGAGCTTGTCTTTCTCAGCCATCATGGTGGCCCTGGAATGGGACCTGGCCCATCGCAGGTGTTTCATGAGCATGTGTGGACTGGATGGATAAATACTCCAAGAGAAGTGGTCTGACAGCTCTTCTCCAACAGGACAACCTGTCCAAAGGGTGCAGGCTGTTGCCATGCCTTTTCAAATCTAACACTTAAGAGTGGGAAGTCACTATGTTCACCCAATTCATCTTTTCTTGTATTTGTGGCTGGCAGTTCACTCCCCAGATATTTTCTTCCCATGTTCCCTGGGCCAGCTCTGGTCCCTGCTCCAGGCCGTCTCATAACATTGGTTTCACTTTTGTGGTTAACGTTCCTTTCTTTTGCCATAGGGTGATGTTTTTTGGCTCGTCTGGGACGTTTTCCCCCTTCTTGGGGTTGCTTTAAGGAAGGCCAAAAAGACACCAATTTTTAAAACTGCATATACCATACCAGATACATGGAAGAGTACACAAATAAAGATTTTCACAAATTAAACTCAGCCCTCTGATCAAAACACAGAGTGTGTGAGCACCACAGAAGCCCTCCTTCTTGCCCCTATTTTAACATTATTTTCTTCCTCCCCAAAAGTAACTACTATCCTAACTTCTAAAACCATAGATTAGCTTGCCTGTTTTTATTTTATATAAATGTAATCACTTATACATAATCATACATAATATACTTTTTTCATTTATCATTTTTGTGAATATATTGGTTTCCTGTTGCCACTGTAACAAATTGTTACAAACTTAGTGATTTAAAATAACACAAATATATTCTCTTATAGTTTTGGAGATCAGAAGTCCAAAATCAGTTCATTGGACCAAAATCAACATATCAGCAGTAGGGTTGATTCCTTCTTGAGGTTATGAAGGGAGAATCTGTTTCCTTGCCTTTTTCAGCTTCTAGTTACTTCCTGTATTCATGAGTTTGTGGCCCCTTTCTCAATAATCAAAGCCTGTTTTTGTCATCACATCATCTTCTCTTCTGTAGTCAGATCTTCCTGTGCCTATACTTTTAGGGCCCCCCCAGGTAAATCCAAGTTAAGCTTCCTATCTCAAATCTTTAATTTAATTGTATCTGCAAAGTCTCTTGCTATCTTCCACATGTTCTCGCTGTCAAAAAAAAAAAAAAAAAAGTCTCTTGCTATCTAGAGTGACATTCACAGGTTCCAGGAATTAGGACCCTGGATATCTTTGGAAGCCATTATTCAACCTACCAAAGTAAAATTCATCCATATTGTTGCATGTATTTATAGTTCATTTATTCTCATTACTGCAGTATGTTCTATTTATTTCTTCTATTAATGGTCATTTCAGGAATTTCAATTTCTGGGCTATTATGAATAGTGCTGTGGAGAATATTCTTATGTGTTCTTTTGGTGAGTGTATGCATTTCTCTTGAATATATAGGAGTGGAATTGCTGGGTCATGTGGTGTGCATATTTTCAGTTTTAGTATGTATTTTCTGTCAAACAGTTTTCCAAAGTGTTTATAAGTAGGCACTATTTTAGTGTGTACCATAATAATGAATTACCCTAATGGCATAGTAGCCTGAGACTGTTAATGATTTTCTCCAAATACCTAAATTATACCAAATGAGTCATACTTCTAGCAGCAGGTCTATTGTTATTTAATATTATATAAGAGGAAAATAGAAGCAAAAGTATTTATTCTTGTTACTGACATGTTACTATTATACACTCATTAGGTTATTGCTCCTCAGAAGAAATGCAAGTTTTAAGTAACCATAAATAATATGTTAAGCTTATAAACAGTATGTTTAGTTGTGGTTTAATTTTTTAATTGAATTTTTAAATTTTGGTTATAACCTTATTAAAATGCATGATATAGGTCTCATATAGGTCTCATATAGGTCCTCATATAGGTCTCTAAATTATGTCTAGCTAACTCATATATATCCAAATGACCATCAGGAAGAATTATTCAATCCAGAAGGCATAGGTGGCCGGGCGTGGTGGCTCACGCCTGTAATCCTAGCACTCTAGGAGGCCGAGGCGGGCAGATTGCTAGAGGTCAAGAGTTCGAAACCAGCCTGAGCAAGAGCGAGACCCCGTCTCTACTATAAATAGAAAGAAATTAATTGGCCAACTAACATTTATAGAAAAAATTAGCCGGGCATGGTGGTGCATGTCTGTAGTCCCAGCTACTCGGGAGGCTGAGGCAGAAGGATTGCTTGGGCTCAGGAGTTTGAGGTTGCTGTGAGCTAGGCTGATGCCACGGCACTCACTGTAGGCTGAGCAGCAAAGCACGACTCTGTCTCAAAAAATAAAATAAAAATAACAGAAGGCATAGCCACTGCCTTCCACTGTCTTCGCTTGGATTTTTTTCTTTCCTTCTTCTCTGTGTCCCCAACAATTTGACCTCAAGTCCTATCCCACCTCCTCTGTTTTTCACCTTGCTCCAGGATATAAAGTATCATAGGTAGGATTGGCCAGCATGAAAAAAATGACAGCGTAAGTCCTTATCCATCAAAATAAACAAGAAGAGAATGTAGGGGATAAAAGGAAGAAACTTTTTTTTCCCCAAAAGATACAGTCTTACTATGTTCCCCAGGCTGGAGTGCTGTGATTATTCATGGGTATAATCATAGCAAACTACAGCCTTGAACCCCTGGGCTCCAGTGATCCAAAAGGAGGAAGCCTTTAACTTATGTTCAATTTCTACCATAAATCAAGCAACTTAGTAAAGCCTTACAACAGGATTTCTCAACCTAGCATTTTGGGCTGGTTAATTTTTGTTGTGAGAGACCATCCTATACATTGTAGGATCTTTAGCAGCATCCTTGGCTTATACCCACTAGATGCCAGTAGCATCCCACTCCACCCCACACCTATTTGTGACAACCCAAAATTGTCTCCAGACATTGCCAAATGTCCCCAGTGGGGACAAAATCGCCTCCTATTGAAACTGCTGCCTAGAAAACAACTAGGTTTTAATTTTAGGATAGGGCATTTAGGGGAATGGCCATGAAACTTAATTTCTGTTAGAAGCAGCACGCAGTGTCACTGGAGAAATACAAAAAGAAATGTGATTAAGAGAGAGTAGGCCCAGGATTATAATGTGTTTCCAGGGAAGTCAAATCTTAAAGGAGGCTCTTGACGTCACATCTGCTGATCCCTTCACCCCATAGGCCCAGTCCAATTATAAATCTCTCTACTAATTTATTGCTTTTCCACCTCATTGCTAACCACACCGAATTTAAAACAGGTATACTATTTCACTACTGTGTAGTACATTTTTTAATAAGCATGTTACTTAAACTTTTTACTGTAGTTAAACATATATATTATGAAATTTACCACCTTAATCAGTTTAAAGTTTACAATTCTGTGGCATTAAATACATTCATTTTGTTGTATAACCATCACCACCATCCATCTACAGAATTTGTCATCTTCCCAAATGGAAACTTTGTATCCCTTAAACAATAACTCCCAACTATCCCCTCTCTCCTCAGTCTTGCATAACCACCATTTTCTGCTTTTTGTCTCCATGAATTGGACTACTCAAGGTACCTCATATAGGCAGAATCATGCTTATTTCACTTACCATAATGTCTTTAATGTTTATTCATGTTGTAACAAGTATCAGAATTTCTTTCCTTTTTTTTTTTTTTTCCTGGAGACAGGGTCTTGCTCTGTTGCCCAGGCTAGAGTGCAATGGTGTCATCATAACTCACTGTAGCCTCAAATTCCTGGCCTCAAGCACTCCTTCCATCTAAGCCTTCCAAAGTTCTAGGATTACAGGCATGAGCCACCATGCTTGACCTAGAATTTCCTTCCTTTTAAAAGTGGAATAATATTCCATTGTGTGTATGTATTACATTTTGTTCATTCATCCATTGATGGACACTTTGGTTGCTTCCACCTTTTGGCTATTATGACTACAGCTGTTATGACCATGGGTATACAAATAGCTGTTTGAGTCCTAATAGGCCTGTTATTTTTGAGTGTACAGATTTATATATTGAGAATTAAAATAGGGAAAGCAGTATAGTAAGAATGCAGATATAGAGAAAATAGAGACAATTTGTAACAAAATAAGTCCTCAGTTAATGTAGATAGGTTCTTGGAAACTGACTTTAAGTGAAATTACTTACAATAGAACCAATTTACATAGGTTAATTGATATAAACAAAAGTTAAGTTACCACAGCATATTTCTGATCACAAAAACATCACCAAACTTCTAAATAAAGACCCACCACTTTGGAGGATGGGGTGGGAGGATTGCTTGA